AGTCCTTTCCCCCTCACCTTTTATTAACCCTATCCAGACAGGTTGGAAACAATTCAGTGGAAGTTCTACCTTTCCCTGTATCCTCTGGAGCTAGGCTGCCTATTGAAAGCTTGTAAGCCAGTCACTTCTTGCCTTTGTAGTCCCCCCATTTTGGGTAGCCAATGTCCAAGTTCCCCTTCCCTGTCGACCCTGTGTACCAAGAGTGTGGGAATGATCCTCACTGTAGAGATTTATCTGCTCCTTTGTCATACTGTATCCACAAGCATAGGTCAAGATCATCCACTTATAGTGGGTTACTCCTGTTTTTCCCCCCTCTTCTTTCTTCCTCTAGTTGTGTTCTGATCATCCAGCTATTGATGCCAGGTCAAATGGGTACTATCTGTAAGTGTGGGTGATCTTGTACATTCCCCTCACTTTATATCAGCTGGATGCTTCACACTCTGTTTTAGTCCTCTGGGTCCATGTCCCAGTCCCTGGGCCCAGGAGTCCCCAGGTCTTGTCATACTGCTGGTTAAACAAGTCTCAATCCAGGTTAACAGGAGTCTATTGAATGTGGTTGGACTTAATTCACAACTTCATTGCTGTTTTTTCCCCTCTTCCCCTTATTGGTGACCATTGTGGTCAGCAGCAGGACCATATGCCTGCTAGTGTATTCCATTTGAGTTTCAGTCTTGGAAGGGAGTTTGCCTTGAGGTGACCTGACCACTTGCCTTGCTGGCTCCATTGGGAACAACTTGCTTGTTCTTGTAGGAGTCAATTGGACTGCTGTTGTTGTTTTCTGCTGCTCTTTCTTTCAAGAAGTATCTTGCTTCTCCAGACTGCTCCAGACTGGTCTGCTTGTCCTTTCACATGGGAATGTCCCACCTCAGAAGATTCCGGATGATGATCAGGATTCCACCTATGATCTTGTGCAATGCAACGGCTCTGCAGGGAGCCTCCTTCACTGTGCAAGTTCTAGCCCCATTTTAGTTATTCTAAACAGTTATAGGCTGAAGACGGACTTACAAGCTTTCTTTGGTGATGTTTCTGACTATTCCTCTCTTTCTCCTTCAAGTGTCTGTTTTACAACAGTAGGCAAGGGAAACTAAAATTCAACAAACAGCCAAGCATCTTAACATCATTTTCCCACTTTTACCCATTCCAACCATGCCTGAATCTTTGTATCCACGAGCCCTGTTGTTCCACGTTTGTGTGCAGATTGTTACTTACCTCTGTCCTATTTGGCCCATGTAAACCTGCCTAGCTAGTCTCCTATCCATCAGGCTCTTCTTGAATGTATTTGTTGTTATTGTTAAGTGCTGTTGAGTCAGTTCCGACCATAGATAATGCCCTGAATTGGATTTCCAAGGAGCGGATGGTGAACTTGAACCACTGGCCTTACAGTTCAAATTGACTTTGCAGTCCATTGCATTAGCCCACAACACCACACCAGAACTCCTCTTTGCTGTATAGGAAACCTGATTTATATCACTGAGGTTACTATGGTTCTAAAATTCTATGACAATGTGTCCATCAACTGACCCTGAAATGTTCTGAAATGAGCTTGGGAGTCAGCTCCCTATAACAATTGAATAGTTTAAATAATTTTTTATGGGCGGGAAAGCCTTGTTAAGATAAATCTCTATTTTTGTTTCTCTGTGTGAATGTCACAACAACTAGTAGACATATGTTGCAGCTTGGCTCCTAATTGTTGGGGGGGTGGAGGGGGAAGCAAGGCGAATTGTCATTCTTGGCATTTTCCCAGTGACATTTACATTTTCATTTCTACTAGAAGTCCATTTCACAAAGGAATGTAGCTTTCATCCTCTGAAAATGCTATTCATTCCCTAGAAAACAATAGTAAATGCAATGAGGAAAAAAATAAAAGGAAATGCCTACAGAAAAAAAGGACCCACCCAGGAGTCAGATTTATCACGCAGACTGATTCCATTTTCTTCCACATTCACGCTCAGGATGGGAAACTTGAGCAATGTCTAAATCTTAGGGCATTTAAGATTCTCAAGAGTGAGGGAGAGGGAGAAGGAAGTTCATTTCAATCCCACTGTACTGGGATCAAGTTCAGATTTCCCTATCTCTCAGGAAACATTTTCTATGCTAAGAATCACTTCTTAGTTACTGAGTCTTTTCTTCTGCAAAAGACTTGTACCAGTTGCAAGGAGGGGATAAAATAAGGTCATGATTGCTTTAAAATTATTCATCCTAAAAACACATTTTGAGACTTGATTCTAAATGTTAAACTTAAATTTGAGTGATTTAATTGCCCATTGAATAGAAATGAAATCCCATTGGTAGGCAGTTATTTCTTACAACCACTGTGTGTGAAATTGAAATCTTAAGATACCATTTCAAATGTTCACCTTCTCTAAGGAAGTTCTCCCCAAAGACCTGTGAAAGATAAGAAATTGACCTAAAGTCATAGGCAGTAATCTCTCTTTCTTTATATACGTGTGTCAAAGCCGAAACACGTTATTTAAAGGAAACTTGATGTCAAAAAAAAAAAAAAATTGCCCATTCAGAAGCCCAAGGATATATTTATTTTAACAACTGATTTGAGTCCTGTGCAAAACTGCAACCACCTTGTGGGACTGAGCTATTGTTGGGCTTGAAGTCTTAAATGCATGCAAGTAGCCATCTAAGATACTACTATTGGTCCTTTCCCACCCAGAACAAAGGAGAGTGAAGGAAAACAAAAATTCAAAGAATAATTTAGTCCACAGGATTGGTGTCGAGTCAATTCTGACTCAAAGCAACTTTCTAAGAAGTGGTTGGTGAGTTTAAACCACCGACCTTGTGGTCTAGTGCAGTATATCTCAGAATCACATCAGGACTCCATTAGTGACCCCCTCTAATCCTACAATGTCTCAGCCTGTTCTAGCCTGAGATCAGTAGAACTAGATGGTTCCCAGCAACCACTACCTACCTCTCTGACCAGGAACACAGCAAAAGGTCCCAGTTAGATTAGGTAGAAAATGTAGAACAAAATTCAAATTCATAAAATAGACCCGATTAACTGGTCTGAAAGAGACTGGAGGAACTCCTGAGGCTATTGCCCTAAATCACCCTTATAACTTGCAAGTGGAATCACTCCCAGAGGCCACCTCTCAACCAAATAATAGATAAGCCTATAAAAGAAACAATAATACTTCATGAGAAGTGTCCTTCTTAGAACAATCAACTGTTCAAGACCAAAAGGGCAAAATATGCCTCAAAGAAAAGATGAGAAAACAGGGAAGGACAGGAAAAACCAAACAATTAGAAATGAGGAGTCCAGAAAGGAAAAGGGATGAGTGTTTACACATTGTGGGGGATTGCAACCGATGTCATGGAACAATTTGTGTATGAATTATTGAGTGGAAAACTAATTTGATGTGTAAAGTTTTACCTAAAGGACAGAAAAATGCTCCCAAAACAAAAGACTGTTGCAAAGAAGGTAGCAACTTAGATTTAATTAAAGCAAGCATATCTAGCCATCAAGATTATGAATATTACAATCAACATAAAGATGAGAAAATGACAAAAAAAAATGCAGAAAATAGTAAATTCTAGTTATACTCTTGAAAAGTCAATGAGGATTTGACTTTAAAGAGGGAAAATGAAGCATCCAAACGTTTATGTCTGACTTCAACCAACACTTTTCAGAGTGAATGCATCCAAGTTCCTTCCCTACCATCTTTAAAATGGGAACAAAATGCCACAATTAAGATTGTTCAAAGAAAACTCTGGATTTTGAAAGCACTTGGGTTTCCGTTTTACATGACTGATAACTGGCACTGGAGTCCTGGTGATTCAATTTATTAAGCACAGGACTACGAGCCCAAAGGTTAGTGGTTTAAACACATCCAGAGGCACCTTGGAAGAAAGGTGATTTGCTTCTAAAAGGTCACAGCCTTGAAAACCGTTAGGAGCCTGTTCTAGTCTGCAACCCATGGGGTCATCCTGAGCCAGAATCTACTCCACTGGGTGTTTGGGGGTTATGAATAGCATCATGACATGGTGCATAAATAGGTCTTTGATAATCTTTTTGAATGAAGACGTTTCCAAGGCCCAGGAAAACCAAAGTTGTTCTCTACAGAAGGCATACTCTGTTGGTCCTCTTCTCTCCTTCTCCTACATTCCTCATTTTTCTAGGCCTTGTCTTGGAAAGTCGGGGATGGGGAGTGGGAATAGGTGGAGACCCGAACCCCAACATCAAATCTCTTTCTTCCTCTCTGACCCCGGGAAAGATGAGCTCCGGGTTACTCTTGGTCATTGGAAAAGCGCTTTCTCTGTACCTAGTTTTTACTGGCACTGTGCTGGGTCTAGTTAAACCGCAGGCGTCCGCTTTCGTCCATCCGCCTTCTGAAAGATGCTGAGGAAGGGAATTCTGCTGCCGGCAGATGGAGAAAAGACCTTGACCAACGTGGTCCCTCCCTCCGGGATTAGCTGCCCCTGGCAAACTCAGTCGTACCCAGTCCGTTGGGTCCCTGCTCACACAGTTTGAGTTGCCAGTTTAGAACGAGGAAGCAGTCACCAACCAGCAGCCTGCAGAGCCTCGCTGTCCTGGGCATCCCCCCCGCCCCCCGCCCCGGGCATCAGTAGATCTGGGACCTCGAACCACTGACGGGCGTGAAAGCCACTCCGAACGCTGGTGTTTCTGTATGTGCTTACTTCACATGCTTGTATTTTATTTCTTCTTTGAGCTGCGCATTGGTTACTTTAGTTACAGCAGAAAGGGAACGTGATAGAGGGGGAGCCCTAAAGAAAGATTTTGAGGCAGCCTAGTATCCTTTCCAAGGAGAGATGTTCCCGAAGTGACTCTCTGGGTCCCCGACGCTGGCCCCTTTAAGAAGCCAAGCCAGTCCTTATGCTGCCGCTGTTTGTATTACTAATCCCCAGGAGCCCCGTTTTTTCTTTAAAAAAAGAAAAAGGAAAGAAAATGAAAGAAAGGGGGGGAAAAGGGAGGTGCGGGCAGCTGTCTCTTTAAATGTGATTTCCTTCTATTGTATTTGAATCGTGATCAGGAAAAAGGAAATGAAACCAGAGACAGAGGGAAGCTGAGCGAAAATAGACCTTCCCGAGTGAGGAGGGAGAGTGAGGAGGGAGCCCGGGTGGTGGTGGTGGTGGTAGGGAGACGAGACGCAGAGCCCCTGCCCACCCCCAGCCGGCTGCCCCCTCCCTGCCCACGGCGGCGAGCCGCGCGCTGCGACCCGGGGCGAAGGTGCGAGGGACGCGGGGCACCAGGCGGCGCGCACGATCCCCGCGGGTGGCGCGGAGCAGGCGACAGAGCGCGAGCGGGACCGGGCGGCGGCGGTGGTGGCGGCGAAGGCAGGACCAGGATGGAAGGTTAAGTCCTGAGCAGCAGCAGCAGCTGCAGCCGCCGGGGGCCAGGCTGCGCGCCCCGGCCCCATCTTCGGCCGCGGCGCGCCCGCAGCCCGGTGATTCGCTCTATCTCTTTGGCGTTTGAAGGGAGCGCGGTGACTGTCCTTGAGCGCGGAGGGGCGAGCTCGCCTCGAGAGCGCCGGACCAAGAAGAGGCGCAGGAGCAGCGGCAGCTGCAGCAGTAACAGCCGAGCACCCGAGGCGGTCCGAGCCCCAGTAGCCGGCCAGTCCCGAGCCACAAAAGGAGCGCCCCCGCCACCCGGCACGCCGCCTCCCTCCCCAATGTCCTCGGCCATAGAGAGGAAGAGCCTGGACCCGTCTGAGTAAGTGTGACGCTCCTGCCCTTGCCCCTGGGTGACCGGGTGGCTTGGACAGCCCTTGAGGGGGCTCCAGGTGCACGCCCACAGTGTGCCCTTGGCGTTGTCTGCCTTGTACAGGGCCCTCCCTTCCTTGCAGGGTGGCTCCGGGGACTCTGGGTGAGAGGCTGGTCAGAGAGAGGGAATCCTGCCCGGCATCTTCTGGACCCCTCTCCCTTGGTTGGGATTCTACCTAAAGCGTTCGCGGGCCAGAAAGTTTGCAAAGGAGCAAGCTTGGGGAAGCTAAGAGCAGCGCAGGTGCAGTCCGGAGAGTGTTCAAGGCTGGGTTCCGCTCCCTCTCCTCTCCTTCCCCTCCCAGATCCTTTTCTCTTTGTCTGTTTGAATCTGGATAGAGGGACGTTCTGAGTGGAGGTCTCTGTGGATCCCCGACAATCCCCTTCCAGGTCCGCAGGTGGAGCGGCTGCCTGCAGCGCCCGTGGCCCTCAGATGAGGGGTCCGAGCGTCCACCTATGAGCTCGCTATAGCCCCCAGAGACTTCTAGAGCCGTGAATCTGGAGTTCATCTGGGTTCATGTAACCCCCACTGCCACCTGAGTCTAACGATGGGGTCGGGGAGGACCTGTCAACTTCAAAAGTCAGTGCACCATTTTGAGTATAGGTGAATTTTTTCTGGGGAGAGGAATCTCTAGATTTTATTTGGATTTAGAAACCCTGGGCTCTAAAGAGTAGTTGCCACATATGATTGATGAACCCCTTACTAGTTTAGAATGTTCCCCACTCCTAGCCTACACCCCCAACCCATTCTTTGGTGTTAACACTGGGAGAAAGGAGTGTTGAAGATATAATTTTCCCATCAACGCAAATGCCCTTTTAAGATTCATTAGTTGTCTAGTTTTGAGAATTTATTCCTTTGAAGTCCCAGGCTAATCCTTTGAAGGGATTTGTTACACAGACCAAAGGAGCTGGTTAATGACTTGTCCATTTGTGCTGTTAAGAGGCATTTGTTTTGTTTTTTCTTTTCCTGCTTGAAAGAATTGTGCTTTCCTGTTTGAATACTTAAAGTCTTCCTCCTCGAATTTCAGCCTTCCAGGCTGTTTATTTACCTGAGTTTTACCCTCAGCTACTGACATAAAATGCTCAGTATGTTCTCATAAAACACAGGAAATGCCTCCATCCAATGAGAATATAAACATCACTATTCAATCTTGAAGGTTACACCAGTCCTATAAGGAACTTGGCTTGTCTTAACAAAAACTGGGCTTCCTTAAACAAATTCTCTGGAGAAAAATAACATTCCTTTATTTAAAGTGTATGACTATGCAAACAGTGAGTTTCAAGGATGGTTTGCTCACTTTCTTCCAAGCCCAGAATTACAATTTAGCCTTAAGTTTTCAGAGTCTGGGCAAGACCATAACAATACAATAAGAGAGTGAAATGGATGAATTGGTTCCTAATGCTCTTTTGATCAGCAGAACTGAGTCACTAATCCTTTTATTAAAAGATAAATCTGGAGGTTTCAGTTCCCTGAAGGAAGTTTGCTCTTTTCAAAGTTTGTTCTTTTTCACTGAGATTTGAAACTTAAAGAATCCTAACCTCATGACACAGCAGACACTTACTGAAGGATGCTAACCTACTCCATCATTCACTTCACTATTTGCACCATGAAGGTGGGTCCTAACTGAAGTGGGCAAGCTAACTGAGCAACTGGTGCAGGGCAAACCCCCTCCCCTACCTCCTCACACTCAGAAATAGATGATACACTCAGTAGAAATCCAGACTGAAATAATATTCAGGTGTGTAATATTCAAGACAGGCTCGAGGAGAATATATAATATTAATTTAAGGGTAAATCTCATTCAGTCATTGGCTTGGAACCTCCTTCAAAGATAATGTGATTTTTATCATTAATGATAGAAAGATAGATAGAAATAATATCTTATCCTGTCCTTTCCTATCTCAGCTTAGGTCATCATGATATTTTGCTTAACATTTCTATTGTAGACCACTATCCTACTAAGATGCTCAAGACCAGCTTGGGTCTTATAATCAGCAACTCCATATTACAGATGGAGACCTGTCTAGCCTTATAAAAGTGAAACATTTACATAGAAAGACAGCCAGAATTCACAAACTTGAGAGATTTCATTTCTCTACCAGGCAATTGGTGGCCCCTATTGCCTTCCTGTGAGTAACAAGGACAGTTCATTTTAATTCCAGACGGTTTTGCACCAGCTAAGTGCAAATTCTTCTCTTTCACAGTTGGTTGGCAGCATCAGCATTGGGCCATTCAGCATGGCAGCAGTGCCAGGAGCATTTTGAAAGCTCCAAGGAAGATCATGGCCTGTGGAAGGAGAAGAGATGCAATTCTGAGTTGGTGCACATGAAAAATGCCGAGAACATTAGTTATTTTTCAGAAGGGCAAATGGAAGTCCAGATGCACAATCTGTAGAAACAAAGAAAAGAAAAAGAAGGAAGTCAGGCTTCAGTGAATTCTTACAAGTGTTTAAGATCTCAGTGTTTTGCTTTGTTTTTTAAAACTGTCTTGGGTTTCATATTTCTTTGTTCTAATAGGAGATAATCTTTCAAAATGCCCTGCTACTTTACTCATATTAAAAAGACAGTTTCAGCATTTCCTAGATACCCATATGGAGGTAGGCACTTTACCTGACAGTCACCTGAAGTTGTCAAAGAATGTTATAAATCTGAGCCTCATTATGCCTAAGTCTGATGGGTGCTGAGTTCTATGGGTACAGACCAGTTAGAATCCAAGGTCATCTGGTAAGTTGGTGTCAGCTAGAAATAGAAGATAGATTTATACTCCCAAGGTAACCGGGGGGGAGCACCCTTTGGGAATTTCACAATTGGAAGTACATCCATTTTTTAAAACCTAATAGATTTTTTTAAAAAAAGCTTTGTGTTTTGAGTACGCTTCCAAAGATTGCTTGTTAGCTATTACAAACCAACAAGTACTAGGCTTTTTCTGTGTTCCAATTTGGTGCTAGATACATTCCTTTCACTCCTTTTATTTGATTTTGACAGTTATTTATTTTAAAATATAAAACAGAAGTATTCAGATTCCTACTAAGTAAAGGGGACAGAAGACACAATGTATGTGTTTTAAATAAAGGAACAGGTATCACAAGCTCACTATTAAAGAATTGCCTCAGTTGAGACTCTAGAGTCTCTTTAATTGCCTTGCACACTCTTTAAAATAATCTTTGACTTCCTCGCCATGTTCCTTACTAAATCAACTTCATCCAAATCATTTTGCTGTTGTAAGGATTTTCACATGAAGAGAAAAAGGCCCACTTGATGTCCTTTGTAAATATGGCAATAACCTCTTAACATCTTGAATTCATCTCCAAGGAGTCATTCAATAAAAAGGATTGTACAAAATAAAACAAGGAGAATTCCTATTATATCTTGGTAGAATTTTTATTTTGGAAAAGGAAAGCAAGGTAAAAATCATTTGTTATTGCTTTCTTCTTTCTCCCTTGCCTTCTGCTTTAGAGTGCAACTAGGCGGGGCATGGACTAGAGATTTTGCATAGATTCAATAGGGAATTTGTGGGGTTGTAGACCTTTGGGTAGGCGAATGCTAGGCAGCAAGCAACTTGTTTAGTCTCTTTTGGGCTAGGCTGTGCTCTTGGGTCCTGAGTCTGAGAGGAGGAAAATGAAGGAGAATTATAAAGATAGAGCAAAGTAGACAGGAAGAGAAAAAGAGATCAGTGTGCTGGTCTGTAGGGAGAGGTACAGAACCACCTACCACTGTCTTGGTTGCCTTCCGGAGCCTGTGCTCACTTACAGGATCTAGGGATCGCTGTCTAGCTCATTCCTGTCCTAACCATGGCCATCTGGCCCTCTCTACACTCTGGCCTGCCCCTTCTTCTCTTGTCACCAAAAGGCAGTTGAGCGAGATCCCCATTATGTCAGCTCCATCACAGACCTGTTTGCCTCAAGAGTAATTGCTGATCCCGGTGCCTGTCTATAAGCATGAGGCTGTCCCTAATGCATGGTCTCCTTTCCAGGGAGCCAGTGGATGAGGTGCTGCAGATCCCCCCATCCCTGCTGACATGTGGTGGCTGCCAGCAAAACATCGGGGACCGCTACTTCCTGAAGGCCATAGACCAATACTGGCACGAGGACTGCCTCAGCTGCGACCTGTGTGGGTGCCGGCTAGGTGAGGTGGGACGGCGCCTCTACTACAAGCTGGGCCGGAAGCTCTGCCGAAGAGACTACCTCAGGTATCTTTGCTTTCACCTCCCTGGAGGCCTCAGGAACTGCCTTTGTTTGGCTGTGGAGGCCAGATCTCAGCTGCCCTATGCAGAATTTCTTCCTATTTGAGAAGCATGTTTTCAGGGAGACATTCTTATGTGGTAAAATACTAATGTTTTGGGGATGCCAAACCAAACTCATTGCGGGAGAGTCCATTGACTCATTTCTAAAACTGCCCTATGGAATTTCCACGGCTGCAATCTTGAAAGATGGCCACATCTTCCTCCCATGGAACCTTTGGTGGGTTCAAACTGCTAACCTTTTGGTTAGCAGTGAGTACTTAATGATTGCACCACCAGGGCTCTTTTTGGGATGGCAAGAGAATGACAAACACAAGTTTCAGAAGAGTGGTTATCTGGGGGCAGACAAGAGGGTTGGGCATTATGAAAACTTTTATAAGTTTGGGGATGGGTTCTTTCGAGTTCATTTTCATGCCTCAAAACATACATATAGGTTATAAATATTCTTTTCTATGACTCTAATATTATGAGAAGGAGCTTTGGTAGCGTAGTGGTTATAAATTGGGATGCTAATCTCACAGTCAGCAGTTTGAAACTACAAGCTGTTCCGTGGGAGAAAGATGAGACTTTCTGCTCCCATAAAGATTTATAGCCTTGGAAACCCTGTACAGGGTCGCTGTGAGTTGGAACTGACACCACAGCATGTAACAACAACAACAACAATATTACGGGATGAGAAATGTGAAAATGGAAAGCATGTTCTGTGTGTGCTTGTAGGAAGACAGTACGGAACATGGCTAAGGTCAAAGGCCAAGGGGTCAGTTGTAGGTTTGAGTTCCAGCACCACTACTTTCTAGTTCTCTGACCTTGGGCAAGTTCCTTGACCTCCCTAAGCCTCCATTTCCTCACCTATAAAATGGGGACCATAATAGCACCTAATTCCAATGTGAGAGGGCAGTGGTTAAATTCTCACCTTCCATCTGGGAGCCCCAGGCTCAGTTTCCAGCCAGTACCCCTCCTGACAGCCTCCACCCATCCGTCAGTGGAGACTTATGTGCGGCTATTATGCTGGACAAGTTTCAGGAAAGCTTCCAAACTAAGATGGACTGGGAAGAAAACTCTAGGGAGATACTTCCCAAAATCTACCAATTAAACCCCTGTGGGCACAATGCTCCAACCTGAAGTTAATCATGGGGATGGAGCAGGATCAATTGGATTTTGTTCAATTGTGCAGGGGGCCACCACGAACAAGTCAAGCCCAACTCAATGGCAGCAAACAACTTCCAAGGTGATGGTTAGGGTTAGATAGGATAATGCATGTAAAGTATTCGGCTTGGTACACAGGCATTAAACATGAGGTTAGTTACTCTTCAATGATGACTAAACCCTTGTGACATGATAGTAAATCTTCCCTGTCTAAGGAACAGGAGATACACATAGAAGCATGGGGAGGGGTGGAGGAGGAACTCTACAACACCAAGTGAGGCAGCAACTGAACACATCTCTGATGCTTTGGCTTGTACTACCTGCCATGTGAATTTTCAGGCACTTCAGCAAGTGCCTTTGCCTGAAATGTTCTAGCATTCCTAGTTTCATATTAGCTCCTGTGGAGGTGACTCTGTGCCCTCTACTGTCAGATCTGCTCATCTGTGTAGCTGTCAATTTTTCGCCATCTTCCTGTGGCAAAGAATTCCTAAAGCATGCAGGACCATCCAACCAGTGGAAGCTTGTTTAGGCTCCAGTGCCCTTGGCTGCCAGGCCTGCACTCCCTCCCAAACCTACCCTCAGAGCATTTTACATTTAAAACCAAAAACCAAACTGCAGGTACTTCATTGGTGAAACAAACTAATCTGTTTACCCAGAGACGGACAGAATAAATCTTCCCACACATCTTCTTTTCTAAAATTCCTTGATAGAGTCCTTGCGTATTTCATGCTTCTGAGACATTTGATTGCTCTTAATGACCATGATTGTATTTTCAGTCTGTTTTTCTTTTCTCTCCTGTTTTTAAAGTCACAAGAACGAGAACAGGGATAAATAAAGACCTGGGTTTCGCTAAGTCACCAGTTTGCCAAGTCAGTACAGAAAGCAGACGGGTAAATGATTCCCATTGGGCTCCCTGACTACATCCCTGTCAAATCATTTGAATCTTATTAAATGAAGTGCAGATCGGGTAAGGTCAGAAAAGCCTGGGCTTCTATCTCTGTAATTTTAAGGAACATTCAAGAATACAACTAAGGCTGCCTGGGCTTGTTAATCTCTTCCATTTTTAAAAAGCAGAGAAAAAAATAGTCTGGGAGAACCCAATGTTAATTAACTTGTGTCTTGGTGACATGAAATAATTCTTCTCCCTGCTACATTCCCAGGCAACATGTTAATTAACTCGGTGTTAGTGCTGGCGTTTCCAGCCATCCTTTAATATTGATATTATTGTTATTAGAATGGGCAGCAGAAAGCTTATGATGTGACACCCTTTGACAGAAGCAAGAGAAATGCTTTTGCTTCAGGGATAGTCCTTTAACTTGGGGGCTTGTTATTGGCATTAATCTATCGAGCAGTGTCTGTAAAAAGGCAGGAAAGTACAGTGACTGAATGGAGCCTATAAAGGGTTCTCTCCTCTCCATAAGGAGCTCTGGTAGCGTAGTAGCTACGAGGTAGAACTACCAGCTGTTCCATTAGAGAAAGATGAGGCTTTCTGCTCCCATAAAAATTTGCAGCCTCAGAAACCCTATATAGTGGTGCTGAAAGTTAGTTGGAACTGACTCCATGGCACACCACCACTCCTTCCATGAGGATCCCCAGTGGCATGTGGTAATTCTTTACAGGTATTTAGCCTAAAATAGTCATGAGCTCCCCATGCCCAGCCTGAACCCTACTGCTGTTGTATTCCTCAGGTCTTAATGTGCCATGGAGACAGTTCCAATTCATAGTGATCCTGCATAGGGTTTCTGAGGAGTGGTGGCAGCTGTTAATGTGGATGCCTGCCCAGGTCTTCTTGCATTCTTTTTGACCAGTTTCTGGGGTCGTCCCCACACTTCAAGTGATTTTACTTCCAACAGTCAGTATCTGAGTCTGTTGGAGTTGAAAGTATCCCAGTCCCTTAGCCCCCTTGTACCTTATCTGGTGGCTGACCCTGAATGATCCTAAAAGCCCTGTAATCTTGCCTGGGGTCATGACAACTTAGAGGCATAACTTAGCCTCTAGAGTTCCCCATGGGATCTGGCTGAAATTCCCCTCTGACACTGACCAGAGATGGCAATTTTGCTTGACCTCCTCTCCTTCCAGTCTACCTTCCCCTGCTTCTCCTTCTAGTATAGACTCCCTTAGAAACACATCCTTAATGAATCTCTGGTACATAAAATCCTCACCATAGATCTGCATACTTCTGGGATACCTAGCTCAAGACACCCATTCTTGGTGCTAGAGGGTAATGCTCGTTGGGTGCTAAGTGCTGGTTTACCTTTACCAGTGTTAGAATTGCAGAATTCCATAGCTGAAAGGAGACGTAGAAGCTGTCTCTTCTGGGTTTCCCAGAGATAGGATGTCATTTGTTGGGGTCGCCTGGCTACTTCGAGGTGCTGCTGGAACTTGAACATGCAAGCTCTCAAATCTCAGTCCTTTGTCCTTCCTTTATCAGCGGCTTCATGTGTAGTATAATTTACCACCTGAAATCCCTTTAATAAGCTCTTTCCTTCTGTAAGGGGCACATACCCCAGGCTGTTGGAGTCAGTCCATACTCACTGTTTTGTCAGTTATTTATCCTTGCTCAGGCCCAAACTTAACTTACTGAGCAGCCAGGAAGCCAGAACTGTCTTTCCACTCCACGACCTCCAATGTGGTGGTTACCTACAGCTCCGCCATCTGCTACGTTGGGAAAAATGTTCTCCCCCAGTAATGAGTTTGCTCCCAGGTGGTGCTCCGAAAACACTCAGATCTTCAAACAAAAAGCAAGATGCCGAAGAAATTACATGGTCCTGGCTTTAAAAAATAAACTCTCTATTCACAGACCAGGTCTTCTCCTGACTCACTCAGGATGACCCAATGCTCTCACAGTTGAACTGTGCTCCACAGGGCTTTTGTTTTGTGTTAACTGTGAATTCGATGAAGGTTTACGTGCAGATCAGTTTCCATTCAACAAAGCATTTACACTTCATTTCATCTCATTGGTTGCAAACCCCTCAATGTAATATCACTTACCCCACTTCTTCCTTGTATTTCCTCTTTCCATTCTTCCTTTTTTCCTCACCCTTCTGAACTTTGTCCTTGGGTAAATGTTGTTCTTTTGATCTCAAACGGCTGGTTATTTTAAGGGTGCCTAATTCACCAGGAGTCCTGGTGTGGTGCTGTGGGTTAATGCGCCAGACTGCAAAGCCCTTTGAACTGTAAGGTCGGTGGTTCAAGCTCACCAGCTGCTCCTTGGAAACCCTATACAGGGTCACTATGGGTTGGAACTGACTCGATGGCACTTGACAACAACTCACTAGTGTCATTTTCCCCATATAGACCTATTGTTTGGCTGAAAACTGACCTATGGGATTTGCTCATTTCCAGATCTGAAGGGGGACTGAAGGCTATAGTCTTGGGGATTCCACCAGTCTTTATCCAACCAATAAGCCTGAAGACCACAACTTTTTCATTCCATTAAGTTCACCGCCAATGTTTTGAATTTTGTCAACTGCCCTAATCTTCCCTAAAGCCTCTCAGAATTGATCTTTTGCTGTTCTGAAGTTAATAAGAACTGTCAGTAAGAACCAACATTCACCAAAAACTATCCTAAAGGCTTTATGTAGAAACCACCTGCTCATACAGCACGTTAGCAGTCATGTGTGACAATGACTTTCTACAAGAAGACAAGCACAGGTGGAAATATACCTGAAGTGGATGAAGCTTAGCCCTTGATGCTTTGATATAGTCTAGTTGTAACAGTTGAGTGAGGTAGATGTTATGAAACAATCCCAACGATAGCATGGTCCTTAAATCAATTCCAACTTATAGTGACCCTGTAAGACACAGTAGAACTGCCCCTATGGGCTGCCAAGGCCGTAACCTTTACAGATGCAGACCCCTTTCTCCCACCGAGTTACCGATGGGGTCACACAGCCAACCTTTCAGCTAGCAGCCAAGTGTTTAACCACTGTGCCTCCTGGGGTCTTTGCTAGATGTTATAATCACTGCTGTTTCACTGAAACTCAGAGAAATCCAGTGTCTCTCAGCTGGGGTCACTTACAGACTCATAGCTGATCCTGAACTTTGAATCTGGTCTTCTGATTCCATTACTTGTATTACTCACTCTTGCAGACTGATTCTCAATCTGCCTCTACCGGAGTCACCTAGAAATGGTCATTACAACACAGATTGCAGAGTCTCACCCAGAGTGTCTCAATCAGATGGGGCCTAGCACGAATGGTGGTTTGAACCCACTTGGCATCTCTACAGGAGACAGATCTGGCATGTGTCTGTTCTCTCAGGGGCAGTTCTACTCTGTTATCTGGGGTTGCTATGAATCCGAATGGACTTGATGGCACCTAGTAACAATAACATTCTGCTCATGGTGACTCGATGTGTTACTGAGTAGAACTGCTCCATAGGGTTTTCTTAGCTGTAATGTTTAAGGAACCCTGGTGTGGCTCTGTGGGATAAAGCACTGGACTGCAAGGTCATTTTGAACCACAAGGTCAGTGGTTCAAACTCACCAGCCGCTCCTTAGATGCTCTATACAGGGTTGCTGTGAGTCGGAACTGACTCAATGGCACTTAACGTCAACAACAATGGTTGAGGAGCTTTGGTGACATAACAGTTAAGCTCTCCATTGCTAACTGAAAGGTTTATGGTTTAAACCTACCTGGTGGCTCTGTGGACTAAAGACCCGGTCATCTGTTTCTGTAAAGATGAAAGTCTAGAAAGTCCTATGGGACAGGTCTACTGTGTCACATGAGGTCATTCTGAGTTGAAAATTGACTCACTGGCACCTGACAACAACAGTCTTTATAGAAGCAGTTTGCCAGACCTTTATTCCACAGCACCACTAGGTTTATATGAACTGGCAATACTGAGCACAGAGGGCACTATGAGTTGGAAAAGCTTCAGTGGCAGCAAATTTAACAGACACTAAGCTCTACCATGGAGTCCTGGTGTGGCACTGTGGGTTAATGCACCAGACTGCAAAGCTGTTTGAACTGCAAGGTCGGCGGTTCAAGCTCACCAGCTGCTCCTCAGAAACCCTATACAGGGTCGCTATGGGTCAGCAGTGACCCAACGACACTTCACAACAACAACAAGCTCTACCATGCTGCATCATCACCCACCACTACATTAAATATGGCTTGAAATAAGTGGCTTGCTTATCAAATGTGACTTAAGACTGTCTTGATTTAAATGTCAGAAGAAGAGCTTCCCTAGAGATCCAAGCCAGTGGGGCAAAGAGGATGGTTAAATTAAGATCTTTCATTCAATGTGGAGAGCTGCAGGTTGTCCTCCAGATCTCTGAGGCATGATTAACTTCTCCAGGTATTTTCTGTCAAATTCCCTCTGTTCCTAGAGAATAATCATGTGGAGATGGGCTTGGCAGTTTATGGAGGAATTCAAGGCCAGTTCTCCTCATGGGTAGAATTAGTCACTCTTGATGTGATAGAATTTGAGCCTCAAGAGGATATGGGTTTTATTACATTCCTGGTCAATCCCCTCCCCTCAAAGAGACCCCTTGGGGTTTACTTCTACAATGAGAGCTCCCCTGGGAGGATATACCTCTTCATCCCCAAACCTTTATCTCCATCACTTCAGTCACTTCAGCCAGGAGTATCTTCTATCATGGAAGTCTGAGACAGCCTATGTATGAGTGTGGTGAGTGGTTTCTGAAGACATGGAGAGATCTCAGAAAAGAGTGGGGTATTACCAAACATAAATACCCTGGTAACTGTTTCATCCCCAGATGCCCTTTCCAGACAAGATTATAGTAGTCAGCTTTGCGACTGGGTCCAACTCTTCCAAGCCTCATGACCTCTTGGAAGTCCAGCCTACTTCAGGGAACCCATTCCTGAGTCCTTTCTCCCAGTATTGTCTCTGCCACTGTCTTCTTAACCTTCATTTCTTCTCCCTTCTCCTTCAGACTTTTTGGTCAAGATGGTCTCTGTGCATCCTGTGACAAGCGGATCCGTGCCTATGAGATGACAATGCGAGTGAAAGACAAAGTATACCACCTGGAATGTTTCAAATGTGCTGCCTGTCAGAAGCATTTCTGTGTAGGCGACAGATACCTTCTCATCAACTCCGACATAGTGTGTGAACAGGACATCTACGAGTGGACTAAGATCAATGGAATGATATAGGCCAGAGTCGTCCCCCCCCCCCCAGCAGCTTTGGGGAGGTGTTTTACTGAACACACTGTCTCCATGGAGTCTCAGGCACTTTGGGGATTTGCGGGTGGGGTAAAGCATTTCTTGAGGAATGGTAGACCCTTATTGGGCACTGAGACATAGCAACCAAGTAACATATAATGCAAGGGGAGAGCTATAAATGTGACAAAGGGACCAGTCTTTAGGACGAGTGTATGGCCTCAGCCTTTTAGAAATAACTGGCATGGTTAGCTGAGAAAAGGAGTGTTTGGGGGATAAGTAGGAGCTGGGCCACCATGATGGAATTTCACATCTACCCATAGTCATTGTGTAAAGGCTTTTTATGACTTTGACCCTTGCAAACTAGAGATGTGCAATTGATTTCTTTTCTCCCTGGCTTTTATAATGACCCTATTCCAATGACCCTATTCCTCCACACAGGAAAGGACAGAGTGGAGAGTGGCTATCCTTTTTAACCTGGCCACCTTCCCAAGGCCTTAAGCTTTGGACCAAGGGAAACTGCATGGAGTCATATTTCAGTTGAGAATGAAAACTGCAACTTTTAGCCAATTATTTAAAGCAATGTTGTTGAATCACTGTTTATAGACATCTTTGTTTTGAGGAGTTCCACAGATTGTTTCTATACAAATGTAAATCTTAAGAAAAAAAAGCTGTTCAACTATTTTATTATCTTAGATTATATCAAAGTATTTGTGTGTGTAGTAAAAAAAAACAAAAAACAAAACAAAACAGAAAATCCTGCAGAGTTAATAAAAATGACAGACTAAAGGCAGTGTTGCTTGTTCAATAACATCTTACAATTTGAAGCGGCAGGAATATCGTCTGCTTTTTATATTGAAAGGAGAGGCAAATAAGCAATTTACTTTTAGGTCAAATAAAAATGTCCCTTTATTGCTAGGGTTTATATGAGCCAGATATGTTCCTATATTACTAGCAATTATATAACAGGACATCACTTAGCTCAGAGGGATGTAGCATAATTAAATTGTTATTGGAAAGTGTGCATTTCACTTCAGTGTTGTGTAGAGGGAGTGGAAGGCAAGATCATTGCCTTTGGGGAACCTGTAACCTAGAAAAGACACAAATACATAAAACAGGTTCCCTTTGGGAGAGAAGGTAATTACCTAGTTTGAAATGTGGCAAAGATGCTGAGCTTGACACTTCGATTTTCTGAGACGTGTGTCTCAGAGTATTTTATGACAAGTGGTTAAGAGGACCTTACTTTGAGAGTTTAAAGCAAGCACCATCGTTTGTGTCCTTCCCGTTCATCCTAGCCAGCTGTGACCATGAGCTGATTCAGAGCGCCACCTGCTGGTCATCTCCTCTCGGCTCACTAGTCCAAGACTATCTCAATGAAATACAAACCTAGATGAACGTGATTTTTCAACTATTTCACAAAAATTTTGAAAAACACCAAGACATGTTAATATATTTAGTTATCATGACATCAGAAACAGGCAGTTAACAAAGATATTTCTTTTAAAATCACCAATCATTAAGAATGTTCGTTCTTTTTTTCCCCCCCTCTTAATGAGTCATTTGAACTGCAGGGCCGGTCTTCAAGCTCACCAGCTGCTCCCTGGAAACCCTATACAGGATTGTTAGGCATTGGAATCGACTCAACGGCACTTAACAACAACAAGCTCCTAAGCAGCAATGGCCTCAATTATAACAACAATTGTGAGGATTTTCACAGGTCTGGGCAATGTCTTGTTCTGTTGTGCATAGGGTCGCAATGAGTCAGAACCGACTCAACAGCACCTAACAATAAGCCCCCCTCCAACCTCCCCAAAAATCAAAACCAAACCAGCACTGTGGTCAAGTTGATTCTGACTCACAGCAATCCTATGGGCAGAGTAGAACTGAGCTACCCACAGGGTTTCCAGGCCTGCAGTGTTTAGGGGCGCACACTTTTCTGGCAGAGGCTGATGGGTTCAAGCCACTGATCTGTCAGTCCGCAGCCGAGTGCTTAATCACTAGGCTTCTTTTTCTCCTGTTATAGGAGAAATTATTAAGTAATAGCTCTCTTGGTCTCTAACTTGTTGAGAAATTTGATTAATTAAGGTGCCTATTTCAAACAAACCTAATTATATTGTTGAGCATTGGCTGCACCTAACAACAACAATTACTCTTTGTTCAGCTGAGGTGGTTGGTGAGGCGCTACCCAAGATGGGAAGCTTGTTCTAAATCAGTGTTTCTAAAAAGGTCCCTGAGTCAACGTTATCTGCATTGCTTAGGTCTTTAGAAATGCTGCTTCTTGGACTCCACCCCAGACCTACTGAATCACCAACCCTGAGGGCAGGGCCTACTCTATGTTGTTGTTGTTGTTAAGTGCTGTCCAGTAGATTCTGACCCATAGCGACCCTGCATAGAGTTTCTGAGGCTGTAAATCTTTACAGGAGTAGAAAGCCTCATCTTTCTTCTGCGGAACTACTGATAGTTTCGAACCGCTGACCTTGAGATTAGCAGCCCAATTCGTAGCCACTACTCTAACCAGTCCTGGTGTGGCACTGTGGGTTAATGTGCCAGACTGCAAAGCTGTTTGAACTACAAGGTCGGCAGTTCAAGTTCACCAGTTGCTCCTCGGAAACCCTATACAGGGTCGCTATGGGTCAGAATTGACTCGATGGCACTTAACAACAACAACAACTCTAACCAGAGCTCCTTTTACACACTGTCATCTAACTCATTCCAACTATAACAACCCTAGATAGGACAGAGTAGAACTCCTCAGGACTTCTGAAATTGTAAATCTTTTTTTTTTTCTGTGAATTGAGTGAAGGTTTACAGACTAGATTACCAGCTTTACATTTAATGAGTCATACATTTGTCTCATCTCAAGGTTTACATTCCCCTCCATGCAACAATGAGTCATACATTCAATGAGTCATACATTGTCTCATCTCAAGGTTTACATTCCCCTCCTGCTTCCTCCCTGGGGTTCCCATTTGCTTTACACTCATCTTCCCATCACTTCTCTTCTTTGTCCCTAGGAAAATGTTTCCCTTTTGATTTGGAATGATGTGAAATATGGTGAGCATTCCTTACCAGTGCTGTTGTCCACTCCTATAAAGCTGTCCACTGCTTGGGTGAAAATTGGGCCATGAGGTTGAGTTCCATTCCAGACCTGAAGGATGGTTGAGGGCCATAGGCTCAGGCCCCTTCGGTCTCTCTGTGACCAGTGAACCCAGACTTCTTTCTTTTTTTTTTAATTCAATTTAGTAGTTTTGAGTTTTGTTCACATTTTCTTCCACTCTACCTGGGAGCCTCCAGTGGGATCCCTATCAGGACAGTTGGGAGTGGTAGCAGAGCACTGTCCAGTTCTTCTAGTCTCAGAGTCATAGAGACACAGTCGCATGTTTCCTTAGTCCACTGAGACACTAGAAATCTTTAATCGGAACACACAGCCTCATCTTTCTCCCATGGAGCAGCTGGTGCATTTGAGCTGCCAGCCTTGCAGTTGGCAATCAAATGCTTGATCCACTGCATCACCAGGACACCAACAAGACCTGTTGTTGTTATTAAGTGCCATCGAGTAGGTTCCAACTCATAGTGACTTTGTATCGGATTTCTGAAAAGCAGCTGGTGAGTCTTGAACCATTTTCTGGTGCAGCAGTGGTTAAGAAGTTAACTGAAAGGTCATCAGTTCAAATATACCAAGTGCTCCAAGGCAGACAGATGTGGCAATCTGCTTCCATAAATATAATAGCCTTGAAAATGCTATGGGCAGTTCTCCTCTGTCCTACAGGGTCGCTGGAGTCCTCATGTGGCACTATAGGATAAGCACTGGATTGCTAACCCAAGGCCAGTTGTTCAAACCCACTAGCAACTCTCGGAGCCCTGTACAGCAGGGGTGGGGAAATCATTTGGTCTGGTCTTGCCAAGGCAACCACAGTTCAGCCATCACATTTGTTGTTGTTAAGTGGCATCAAGTCGAGTCAGTTCCGACCCATAGAGACCCTGTATAGGGTTTCCAAGGAGCAGCTGGTGAGCTTGAACCGTTGACCTTGCAGTTCAAACCGATTTTGCAGCCCACAGCGCCACACCAGGACTCCAGTCATCACATTGGGGGTGAGTTAATTAAATGACCAAATAAAACAGGTTAATTTTTAAGTTGATAATTTTCTATGGCCTGCGAATGATGCTATACTTTTTGGAAGACAAAAGGTTCCCCACGCCTGCTGTACAGAGTTCATATGAGTCAGAACCGACTCAACAGCACTTAACAATAGCAACCTAGGAACACCATGAGGCAGAGTCAGCCCAGTGGCTATAGGTTTTATAGGTTTCCACTCAAACTTGTGAATTGCTGTTCTAATCATCCTCCAGTTAGGAATGTGATGCAGTCTAGGTTGTTAATAGTTAATATTGACACAAAGGTTAATCTAATCACTGAGTCATTTTTCCACATGTAAATAAACACTGTTCATCCATGGTCCCTAAACTGGTCGTGTGTACATACTTGTGCCGTTCCACTAACAGTGAGCATGCTTCATCCCCCAGATCAATCACAATGCTGCCCATCATTTAAAATCATGTCAACATAAGCCATAATGATATGTTGGGTATGCATTTATCTTGTAAATAATATTGTTTTTGTTGTTGTTAGGTGCCATCGAATTGGCACTGACCCATAATGACCTTATACACAGCAGAACGAAATAATGTCTGATCCTGGGCCAACCTCACTACTGTTGCCACACTTGAGTCCATCGATGCTGCCACCTGGTCAATCCATTTCGTTGGGGGTCTTCCTCTTTTTCTCTGACCCTCCACCTTACCAAACATGATACCCTTTTCCAGTGACTGGTCCCTCCTGACAATATGTCAGAAGTATGAGAGACGAAGTTTAGCCATCTTGGCCTCTAAAGAGCACTCTGGCTGCATTTCTTCCAAAACAGATCTATTGGTTCTTTTGGCAGCCCATGGCACTTTCAATATTCTCCTCCAACACCATAACTCAAAGGCATCTA